CACTGACGATATTTAGCATGATAAGGGTTACTAAATAAAAATGCTCTGTAAAATAGTTAGTGTGACAGAAGAAATGTGTGACCAACAAATGCTTCATTGACAAATTTCAGAGAGATTTTCTGAGATCAGTGAAACATTTCATTTTCTGTTTTAATTTAACCGACACTGACATCATAGACAATACAAAGTGCATCCTTAACTGTATCTTATTTGCTTTTCTTCAAATACCATCTCAGTACTGGTTTCGAACTTTTTTATCTAATATGTTGTTTACACCAATTTAACACTAAGAAAATACAATAGCAAAAACTGTTGTTTTTTGACCTGTCAATATTTTTTTAGGAGTAATATAAATAACTGTAACTGGCTCTGAACTAATAGAAAATATAAAACAAATTTGGTCTAAAGATATTTTTAAAGAAACAAATGTATGGATTTTAAAAAAAAACAACCTAAAATAAATATGCTGTAGGATATAAATTAAAAAGAACATTTTTATTTGATTTATGATATCAAATGTAAGAATATAAATTCCTCAATTTTTCGCTTCTTTTACATTGTGATATCAATGTAGGGATATAATGAGGATATCATTCAAATTTGCTTGTTTGAAGTGTGATATCAATGTGATATACAAGAATCTAACCTACCTATTGGTTTCTGTAAAACCTGGTACAAATATTTTCCATATAACCAGCAAACTGCTGAGAAATAGTTAAACTTGCCATGCCCAATGTTTTCTGTAATGAAAAAAGTCCACAATTTGCAAACAGAACATGACAACTTTCTATCATTGTTAAGGTCACATGGCAATTTTCCAATGCTGTATAGGTCACATGACAACTTTTCAACTTCACTGGTGTCGGAAATCCTTAAGTTTCATACATAGCATTGACTGACTATTTTGTAAAACTAAAAAAAAAAAGCATTTGCACCAAAAAAGGCGGCATGATTCAAACCCATAGTGGTAATGGGCAAGCTTGAAACTTTTTAGCAATGAAGGTTTTTATCATAAACCACAGATGTTTGTTTTGGGCCTCCCTGCAAATAATAAATTTATCAACCTTTACCCTGCAAGATTTGTGTAATATTTTCTTTTCTCTTTCAACATTTGGATAGGTTCAGAGAAGTTCAATATCAAAATATTGGAAGCGAGTAGCAAAAAAATATAATGTTTAGTGTGGTCATAATGTAAGTGTAAGTAAGATGGCCTGGTGCTTTACTGTTTGGATCACCATTGGCAGTTAAAGACTTGATATTAACATCGTTATTGGCTTTTAAATGTGCAACATCCGTCTTCATCTACAATTAACAATATATATTACTTTTCATTTTGCTCTCATTTCCTGATTTGATATTTATGCATCACACATTTTTGATTGGTGTCTTAGTACAATATCATATTTTTACATATTTGTGATAAAATATTTACCTGGAGTGGGTAAACTCCATGGCAACAAGATACCGTCACTAGAAAAATCTGTCAGCGGAACTGTGGCTACCTTATCTTTAACTGCAAACACTCTTATATCTGGGTAATTATGGGTGTCATTTAACTCCGCAGAACTGTTAAATACCTGTTTAACAAATCATTTGCATCAATTAATAACAACTTTTTAATTTTCTTATTTTTTAGCATAATTCATTCGGATACATTTGATCATTATCATGAATTTTAAGTAACATCAACACTGTAAAATTGACAACTTTCCAGCATTACTGATGGGGGGAAGACATCAGGTGTCCTTCTACATATTACTTTATGCACAAGTGGACACCTGAAAAGAACTATCGACCTAGCATTAGCTAGCAGGATAGCTTCTTTGTTTCCATCTAAGGATCCCATTGGAAATAAGTTCTCTATTCAATATTGAACTTTCACAAGGTATCCTGTGTTGTACATTGTATATATATATCTTGAGATCATCTAGATTTTTGATTTAATAAGAATGTTTAAAATATTTCTTTTCCATTGACTATTGTGTTACATATAATGTGATAGATATATTTGTGATAAATTGCCTGTTATGTATTGTAATATGACATCTATATACATAAATGAATGAATCAATCAATCACTCCCTCACATGAAAGACTCTGAAGTCCCTGAAGGAATTTTACCAATTCTGCACATAAACATTAACATCTGCCCTTATTTTATAACCAAAAGCCAGTAGAGTCATGATCTCTATGAGAATAAACATTGCAAAACTTACTGTTTAAAAACAGTAAATTTAAGAAAATAATTATCGAAACGTACCTGTGACATAGAGAACTGCATGTTTGACTGACCTGAACACACCCAAACATCTCCAAATAACACATTCTTCAGTGAGATAGTATTACTGTCAAGCTTGGCCTCTATAACATGAGGTCCTCCTGCTTCAATAGGTCCTAAAATAATACATCATGGGATAATAAGAAGTTTGTACATGACAGAGTAGGGTTGGAAGGTGTTAATAGCGTTATAACATCATTATTCCATTGATTAGTAAAGTCGCGGATGCATGCGTCGACATTTTAGACCAAAGGGGAAGACTATGATATTGTCATATTCTAGAACTGTTTACTTATTTGGAATATAACACATTAGTGCCTGAGCAGCTCTGCTAAGACTGTAGAACTGTTGCATTGTATTCCCAGGATCCAAGGTTGGAGTCCCAGTCGGACTGCACATTTTTTTCTCACTTTGTGACAGTATAATAATAAATTACACTGAAATGATAAGTGAGGGCCTATGTCCTGTTCACTACATGTTTTATACTTAGATTATGCCCAAGATATACCTTATTTTAACACAGAATCAATATTTTATGAAAAAAAGAGCATTTATCCTGCATCAATTAAATAGATACAGTTATTGATGCTCCACTGAAGTCAAAAAACATAAAAACATAAAATCTGGAAATCTTACATCGATCAACCTGGCTCACATAAAACTGTAACTGTAACACAGTGTAATAAAGAAATATACTCAGAATTAAATTTTGAAAAACAATTGATTTTGCGATTCTTAGCCAGATTGGGTTAAAAGCCTTTTAAATTAAAAGCTTTTTATTTTGGGGTAATTTTGCACGATTAAATTCATTATTCTTGGAAAACAGAGTAAGCGAATGATCTGAAACTTTGCACATGACTTACCTGTATATCAAATGATATACAAATCTCGCAGAAGTTTTGCAAGTCCCATCATGTCAAAAATGTTCATGTAGGGACTGAGTCCCTTTACATGAATATTGCTACTTTCCATATAAACCATTCCCTTGAAAACACAATAAACCAGGACTGAGTTTTATAGAAAGTCCTTTGTCTGAAATCAGTCTTGACACCAAAACTGAACAATTTTGAAAAATAAGACATCTTAACTTATGAATCCTGTTTTATGACTCTTTGTTCTGATTGCAATAGATATGAGCAATAGCAAATTGCCATTAAAATGGTCTGTCATTGTAGTTCTTAACTTTTCACATAAGTCCCAAAGTTGGTTTTATATCCAAGGACTAACGGTAAACTTAAGACTTTCTACGAAACACAGCTCAGGTTACAATAAAAATAATTATCATACCTAATTCAACAGCCCATAACAGATGGTCAGTAATTATGGTACTGCTTGTAACATTCACACCATTTATTTGTACATTTACTGCTTTGCCCTCGGACCCCAAAGGGGCATATCCCCAAATCACAGCTTTTTTTGGTTGACCCTGTAACACCATGTTATCCCCATAGTATGAGGCAAAGGAGAACTTTCTATCACTTTGTTCAATTTCTAATGTAGGTTTAACATTTCCATAAAATGGTACAGGGTTATCACTCATCCTGAAGGCAGGGAGATGTTCTGGCATACCGCTTTCCACAGGTTGGTCTGTATCAATAAAACAGTAAGTTAAATGTAAAAAAATCAATGCATCATTCCCACCAATCAGTGAGCATGTACTTTAATTTATCTAGCACATACATGTATATATCAAATACTGAATAAGTAAATAATTAATAAGAGTTTGAAGCAATTCACGGAACACATTTACATGAAAATAAAACTTTAACAAGTAACTACATATATCATAATACATCAGAATATGCCTTATAAAAGGTCTTAAAAAATATTGTAGTATTCATGCAGAGGCTGTTCATCAAAACAATATATTAAGCATAAAAAATACCTAAAATTTAAAGAAAAGTGCTGTTTACTGTCACACGTATTCTATATCTGGCTTAAATTCATGGTCTTTGTCAAATTGTTTCTTTTTTTTTTCTTTTTCGGTTAGAATTTGTCAAATGAACACTGCAGTGGTCAAATGGTGAATTTTCGGCTTTACTGGTAGAGGACAACCTGGAGTGCCTATCATTGGATCAATACAGTTGCAAACGGGGAACCTGAGTAGAACAACCAACCTTCTTTAGCAAGCAGGAAAACTTGCCCATACAAAAGAATTCCATGGCCCTGGCACGACTCGAACCCACGATTCCAAATGAGTTAACTTAACCACATAGTCTCTTAGATTTTAGCTGTTACATTTGTAAAGATTTCACTGTTATAATTAACCACATACCTAATTTAACAACATATTTATCTTTCCCAATCAACTTTTTGCTAAATGCTTTTCCATGGTAGGTGAATGGGGGCATAGGGAGGCTGTTATTTGCCCCATATATCGCACACTTTTTAAACGGGCATGGTGTCCGTCTCCAGGCATATCTAATCCCTACCACGTTTTCTATAGAACATTCACTTGCATAGCTCTGTGTGACGTTTTCTATGAATAAGACAAAGTAAGACTGCAAACAAGGAACAAAGTGACAAAAGAGTAACTAAGAAATAAAGTTACTTAGAAAATACATGTCAATATCAATTTTTAGTGCATTGTTGTAATATTATGCACAGTTCCAGTTCAAAGGTGTAGGAATATAATCACAAAATCCGATAGACCTGAATGATTTATTAAAAGCATTTGAAAGATAGACTGTAAATTATTATACTATAATGCAAGAAAAATTAATCTATTTCCATTCTAACATGCTAACAAAAAAGAGAATTGATAAAAATATGTTGAACTAGATTGATTGTAGAAGTAATTTTCCCAATGTCATTTGGTTTACTGACATCATATCTGATGTCCTATGACATGTAAGCATTCCTTTTAATGCTGAGCATAATATCATGTAATATAATGCACTTGATTGCCCTGTCTGTCGGGGGCTTGTTAGAATCAAATTTCTATCACTCAGTGAAGCGATACTTGATACAAATTTTTATTGAGGGACTATTAATAATCACATCAACAAGATTGGTTCTTCATCTATTTGGTAATTATAACTGATAAATATATTTTTTTCTATCTGGATGTTCAGTTGTATCATTATCTATCAATTCAACTTGAACCAGGGTCTTTCTAATTTAAAGGACCCTGTTTGAACCTTTAACAATCTAAATACATTCATCTTAAATGGACTTGTCCATCTATCAATTAAGACAAAACTTTTTCATCATTAAGAAATTTTTCAAAATATTTACTGACTGAAAAGCAAACAGCACGGACCATGTTCTGACTCCTCATGCAATCTGATCTAAGTCTGCACTCGTCAATTGGGTCTAGAATTAGTTGCCTTCAGCAGGTTAAGGTTTAAAGATATTATTACCCCTTACTTTTTTGAAATGTTAATTTCTCATAGGCCACTGGGAGTTATTCTTAAAACAAATGTATCATGTGACTAAGAAATTTGTACTGTTACAGGCTAACAGTATAAAAATCTGGTCACATGCTTTTCTCCTAAAAAAATAAGTATTATAGATTCGGGGTAATAAAGTAAATTACACATGGGTTTGTGAGTAACAATATATAAATAACACATGGGTTTGTGGGTAACAGTAAAAATATCATCCCGAGGAAAATGCTGTTACCCGAGGCGTAGCCGAGGGTAACAGTATTTATACGAGGGATGATATTTTTACTGTTACTTACAAACCCATGTGTTATTTATTTTATTACCCCGAACAAATACTGTGATGATCTGAATTTCTAAACTATATCTAACTGTAACAAAAATAAGCCAAGAGAATAAATATCTAAACTGTCTTTACCTTGCAAGTTTTAAGTGCACTGTAGGCCTACTTGAGAATATGTTTTTCTTTTATTCCTTAGACAAGTGATGATATCTACCAGTCATAAACATAAAATAAGCTGTGTTTTGTAAAACAAAACACTAACCCATTTATAAGGTTATGATCTGTGAAATATGATCCTTCTGCATCCAGAATATTCTTCGCATAGTTTTTGACAAAGTGCATTTAGAAAATAACGATGATATCCTACAGATGTCTGTCCACCAACTCTACTGTATCTGTAACGTTTCACTGGTTAAAATTGTTAAATTATCCTTTGTTGCATGCTTTAATTATCTGCATGTTCCAGTTTGACACAAAATTATTTACATTACAATTACGTCCGTTGAAAACGGATGTTTCCTGTTGACTATTCAACAAAAAGATATTTAATACGCGAAAGGGACTTTAGGGTGCAAAGAACTAAATTTTATCAGAGTAATATTTACTTCAGCGATGCCCTATCGTCGAAAATAAGAATGAATTGAGAAAAAAATGGCGGCCATTTCATTTCATTTTATTTAGAAAATAGACCACGTGACCAGATTTTATACTGTTAAAAAATACTGTTACCTATGTAACAGTACAAAATTCGTAGTCACGTGGTACACTTGCAATAACAGTAAGAATAACTCCCAGAGGCCTATGGGAAATTAACATTACGAAAAAAGTGAGGGGTAATAATAAAAATATCATCCCTCGTAAATATACTGTTACCTGAGGTGTTAGTCGAGGGTAACAGTATTTTCCTCAGGATGATATTTTTACTGTTTACCCAAAAACCCATGTGATATTTATATAATGTTAATGAAAACATGAATACTTCTATCATATCCTTGCCATGTTGCCGTTGGTAACCACCAAGCTTTGCCCGTCTCACAAACTGCAGGTTTTACAAAGGCACAACATATCTAAAATATACAGAATAATATCAAACCTGTGTTAATGACAGACTCTAAAGAAAGAAGACATAAAGATACCCAAATTCAAATAAACAACAAGGTTTTTTGCATAATCAACCTTTAAAAAATGTTTTAAGTTACCAAAATTTTCTGAGTTCTGTCACAAATCTCAAGATTTGCATTGGTCAGTGTACATTCTGTGGCAGTTCTGACCAATCAAATACCTGAGATCTAAGTTTGAGTCTAGAGACCTTCATTATAACTCTTGATTTCAACATTTACACTGTAAGTTTTGTGAAATGGACTAGTCCAATATAAATTTTAAATTGAAACTATCCTTTATCAATTTTAACAATTTTTATATTAAAAAACTTCAATTTTAGAATCAATTAGTAATGAGTTTGTTTAGAATATCTTTATATGGAGTATGACCTTTACAGCACGTAAGGTAAAACAATTTCTCACCAAGTCCTATGTAAGCTAACTTTGGAAGTGTCGCATAGAAGGTTCCATGATAACCGCCATATGAACACATCTGTGGATGTTACTAAATTCAAAATTTCATCATTTTCATGTTTAATTGTTGAATTCTGCTTAATCCAGTTGAAGGGGGCATGGACAGTAGTTTGCAATTGACAGTACCGTCCATGAACAGGCTCAATCAAACAGAGCCTGCAACATTTTCAATTTTGTTGTTTTTGACTTTCTTTAGGCGTTCTTATTTTCTCAATTTTACCTCAAATCCATCCAACCATCTCTGCTCTAGGTCCATTGTGTATTCAACTTCAACCTGGGTGTAGGTATACGGCAGCTCTGCCGGTGTTATGGTAACTTTGACTGGGTACGGACCTTGGAATGACACGTTCTGCGAATATGCCACGGCTAAACTTCCTAATACCAGTCTTGCAGCAACATCTTGTTTGTCTCTTGTATGAACACTTAGAAGAAAAGAAAAAAAAATGATGGAAATTTTCTATTATACCCTTTTGACTGTTTAATTTAACCCATTACTTCATATACACGCCTTTTAACGCCTTTTTCACCCCCCCCCCCTTTTTGTGGTCTCAAATGGTGAAAAAATGCATTATTTAGGCCCTTAACACTTGTTTTTGTTTGAGAAATGTTGTTAAAAAAAGTGACGACTTTTTCGGCGCGGCCCCCCAACCAAAAGATATATCAGGGGGTTGCCAGAAGGGGGATGTGCCCCCTTCTGTTTGGGGGTTTGAAGGGGGGCGGAGTCCCCCTCATCGCCAAGAAAATTTTGGACTTGTGAGAGGCTATAAATGACCCCAGATTGATCATAAGGTAACGTGTAACCAACGCTGAAAAGCATTTGACTCTATCTCAATCCATTGAGAAGTTGCAGCACTTTGAAATCAATTATGATGGAAAAAATCAACGCAAAATAGTGATTTTTGGCAATTTTGAGATGTCCCCTCGTTGCCATGGTAACAGAAAATTTAAGCCTGAGCATGTTGTTGCAAGGGCAATGGTCCAGTCAACATTTGTGCCAAGTTTGATTAGTGTTGAAGCAGTTTTTATAGTATTATAGCAATTTGAACTTGTAACGGGAGACTTTTCAATGAAAACAGCCATTTTTCACAAAATGCTCATGAAGTAATGGGTTAATGAAAAAAATAAAAAAAATTACAAAACAACAATTTTTCTTCAAATTTATATGACAGGCCATGTTTAAACATGGAAAAACGCAATTTAGAGTAATTTCAAGTATTTTCATCATTTTCTGTTAACCCATTACTTCATATACACGCCTTTTAACGCCTTTTTCCCCCCCCCTTTTTCTGGTCTCAAATGGTGAAAAAATGCATTATTTAGGCCCTTAACACTTGTTTTTGTTTGAGAAATGTTGTTAAAAAAAGTGACCACTTTTTCGGCGCGGCCCCCCAACCAAAAGATACATCAGGGGGTTGCCAGAAGGGGGATGTGCCCCCTTCTGTTTGGGGGGTTTGAAGGGGGGGCGGAGTCCCCCTCATCGCCAAGAAAATTTTGGACTTGTGAGAGGCTATAAATGACCCCAGATTGATCATAAGGTAACGTGCAACCAATGCTGAAAAGCATTTGACTCTATCTCAATCCATTGAGAAGTTGCAGCACTTTGAAATCAATTTTGATGGAAAAAATCAACGCAAAATAGTGATTTTTGGCAATTTTGAGATGTCCCCTCGTTGCCATGGTAACAGAAATTTTAGCCTGAGCATGTTGTTGCAAGGGCAATGGTCCAGTCAACACTTGTGCCAAGTTTGATTAGTGTTGAAGCAGTTTTTTTAGTATTATAGCAATTTGAACTTGTAACGGGAGACTTTTCAATGAAAACAGCCATTTTTCACAAAATGCTCATGAAGTAATGGGTTAAATAATAGACTTGCCCTTTTGCCCTGGTTTGAATCTGGAACAATCCATGGTTATTTTAGGGAGGTTTCATTATCAAAACTAAGTTTATAGCTTCCAAAAGAAAGTAGGAAAAACACGCAAAACACTCATAGTCGGATAAAGCAGTTTAGACTTAACTGTCAGAAGAAGTTAACATGTAACATAGTTAATGCTTATCCAATTAATCAATTAACTAATTGATTAATTGATCAATCAATGAATCAATTTAAGTCAGAAAAACATATAAAACAATCATTCTAAACTCGTGGTCAATTCTTACGCATCAAAACTCAAAACTGGTGTTAAATAGTTGATAAACACTGCTAAGACCGATATTATTTCTTAAACAATACTTGATTGAATGATTTTCTGTGTGTGATATCTAACAATTTTAAATATGCACCCTTTTTCTAAATCCAGGAGTCTTAAATTATATTGCCTATATTTATTTTGCAAAAATCAGAATATTTCAATATATAATTATATTGCACTACAGTACCCTTATTGTAAATACTACGGTAGATTATTATATATATATATAAGTTAATACTTACTCTCCATAAGGTGAGGTAAAATCAGGTAAATCCATGGCAACAGCCATAAAAACATTCCTCAATCTATGGTTGGGTACATAGCCATAATCTGCCGTTTGATGCCAGCGAATGTCCGGAAAACCCACTGACACAGAAAAATCCGGTGTGAACCCTGCCAACTGTCAAATATAAAGATTTCGGTTTCACCTCAAATTATGTATTAACATAGTCTGTAAAAGAGAAATATTTGTGACTCTTAACCCTTTATTTTGTACAATGGACATGCCCCATATTGTATTTGGAGCTACCTATTTTTATTTCAAGGGAAGTTAATATTAAAGTATAGGTCATATAAATGATCAGATAGCATCAATTTGCCAATCTCTATGCAGTGTTCTCCCCTTAATTCTTCGTCTTAGATAGGTTAGTGTACTTATAGGGAAGTAATCGCTGCAAGAAGTTTTGTCAATTTTCAGGCTAGTGTGGCTCAATACTGCTTGCACAAATAACATGTGTGACATAAAGCAGGTCATAGCTATGATTAAGGGAGTGGTGGCCTAGTGGCTAATGTGTTTGCCACTCAACCCTGGGATCATGGGTTCGAGCCCTAATCTGGTCAAGACCATGTTAACTTACTTCATATGTAACCAATACTGGTTGGTTCTAGGATGCTGACTCAAAAGTGATTAATATATGTTGCAAGAACTTGTTTCACAATCAAGCTTTAATAAATATGTTTAGAACTATCTTCAGAGGGTTTCAAATGTGACTGAAAATTGATTACAATAATTCTGGCATTGAAAAAATAAAGAAAGAGAAAATAAAAGAGTATTTTTTTTGTAAAGCATACTAATTCTACTTTACTTTTTTCTTATTTTTTCATAATTCAGTACATAGCATTTCTTAATTTGGTAAAATCTATTAAATAACGAGCTACTATTCTTAAATATATCAAACAATTCACCTCTGAACCATTTTCTCATAACTTTGGATAATAAAATAATATAAACAGTATGTGTAGCAGCTAAAATAAGTGGCTTGGTGCTTTGACGCAAAATATATACATGTTGTCTATATCTAATGACATTGAAAATGAAAGAGTAGTATCAAACAGGAGAATTTGTATAGCTACATATGACTGTGTCCCATCTCTCAGTCAGCGGAACTCTTGGCAAAGTGTTAAAAAGAACTCCACCGAGGTCTAAAAGTCCAAAAACATAATACATGAACTTAAGTGGTTTAACTAAGGTGCTTTCTGGTGCCTGAAATGATGCATGGAGGAGCACCTGAGGTCTTCCTCCTCACAGATGGCATGTAACTGTAATTACTATTTAGGGATTTGGTTGCTAGGTTACCTGAACAAAACCAAATGGAAACAGCTGCCTGGTTCCCCCAGACTGTGAAAATTTCTTCCTCCAGTCGTCTATCATAGCAGGGAACGTACAGTTATACAAGTCTATGTTGGTATGAGCTCCCGAATTTGATTCACCTGCAAAACAAGATATGTAAATAAGTCCATTATTTATTTTTTTTGGTGGTCAAACCATCTCAGTAATGTTCAAATGACAACCATACAATTCATTTTTTAGGTGCACCTCCGAGCTCCTCCTGTTTATTCTTATATTTTCTATCAATGCAGTAACTTTAGTACTATATAAAAACTTATATTGTGAAGAAAAAAATAATGACAAAAGTAAAATTTAGGTCAAGTGATTCAGTAACTGTGAGGATCTTTTTTCAATCAATCTTTTATTTCATTTTACATACCCTGATACCATATGGTTCCATAAATGGTCATATTGATAAACGGATGAACCATGGCATTCCATAACACACTACTTTTCCAGCTGGTTAAATCTGTTCCACTCATTGGTAATGCTTCCACTCTGAAATTACATTATGATAACATTACAATAACACCATAATATCACAGTGATAGCATTCATATAGATGAACCTTGGCATTTCATAATGAGAACTATGCTATTCTATAACAAAAAGCCATGGCATTCCATAACATGAACCATGGTATTCCATAACTTGGACCATGACACTCCATAAACATGAATCATGGCATTCCATAACATTACCATGGTATTCTGTAACATAACAATAGCATTCTATATCATAAAATCATGGCATTCCATAACATGAACCATGGCATTTAATAACATAACAATAGCATTCCATAACACAACAATAGCATTCCATATCATAAAACCATGGCATTCCAAAACATGAACCATGGTATTCTTAACATGAACAATGGAATTCAACATCATGAACCATGCTATTCTATAACATAAACCATTTTAGCAAATTAATGATCAATGAGCAAAATAATTGAAAAAATTGATTCAAATAAAAATTACATTTCTTTTACCTTCACTTATACAATAATAGTGGGTACAATTACAAATAAATTTCTCGAATCTCATTCACCAGTATTTGTTAGATTTACAAAACAAACCTATTTTGGTCAGAAAGTCCACATTTTTTCAGAGCATCTTTTGATGACCAAGCTTCTACTGGTGTCCCACCCACAGAAGTCTCCAATAGACCTAAAATAGATATACAAAAAACATATAAAAATGTCACTGTTAAAAGGGCAAGTGCCTTAAAAAAAATGTAAACTTATATACCTTATCAGAAGATGAAACAAACCAAACTTTTGAAGGAGATTCTGGGCAAAGTGGGTAACTTAAATAATACTTCAAATTGCTTGCCCCTCAACTGTAGGTTTAAATCCCATCAGGAACTCTTAATTGTTAAAATACAGGCAAATATCCAGATATCTTCAGGAAAATTTGTGGTTCTACTCAGGTCATATGGCAACTTGCCAGCTTTACTGGCAGAGGAAGACCTCAAGTTCCTGTCAGGTGGTGCCCATTTGTGTATAATATAACATAGCAATTCAAAAAGAAGCTGGGAAGAAAACCTATGTAGATTTATACTGCAGAGGAGACTTAACGGCCCATTATGCCCCAGAACTTTTTTTATTTTTATTTTACAAAGGCTTATTTATATTTGGGGCCTGTTACAGTTTCCAAAAAGATACACATTGGCAATTACTTGAACCATACTTTGCTTGTGTTGTTTTCTGGAAATTAGTACAATAATAATGATTAAGTATTTTGTATGGAAATTAAAAAAAAACAAAACTTTGTTTACATTCTGCTACTTTTTTGTCAAATAACTTCACATTGAACAAAGGTTATAATTATCTACATGTAATTCCTCGCATCCAAACTTCAGTGATTTTATTGAGCAATAAAATCGCAGTTTGGGATATATTATTTCTTAAATTTTTCACAATAATTTACATACCTATAGGTTTCTTTAAATGTTTGTACAAGTACTTGCCATACAACCAGCACACAGCCGAGAAGTTCCCTTTCTTAACTGATTCTGTCAAGAAATAAAGATATATAAAATATAAACTAATCTACGATCATTTATCGGATACAAAATACTATGTGTATAATTACTATATTTAGACCTGCACTTACTAACCACATTTATGTTAATGCCAACCATGTACAGTGCGACCCCGATTATTCGACAACCCTTTATTCAAATACCCAGCATTATCCAAAGTAGATGGGCGGTCCCGTTTTTATCCCTATATAAATCAATATAAATACGAGCGTATTATTCAAAATGCATTATCCGAATACCTCCTATTTTTCGAAGTAAAATTTCGGTCCCGATTATACAATTATGAAAGAATTTCACACCTATTAATCGAAGCCAGACTAATTGGTGCAGATCCATTCGCTGACCATTCGACTTGTGAAAAATATCAACAGTCAGGCGTGTATTTAAACAATTTTGATAATAACTCTTTATCAACTTTAATTACCGAAAATGAAAAGCTATGCACCGTGTCCGATTTTGTTACTGTTATTGCTTGAAGATGACAGCAATAATTTTCATACATACCGTATATGTAAATTTGTCAAAACTTTTCATTAATTGTAACGCTACATGAGAGCCTTTATCCTTATCGAAAATACCAGAGTTTAGCTGTACATACCGTAGTGACGGCCATTATCAAGGCTTGGCGCTAAACGAAATGATACATAAAGTAAAATAAAATTAAATTATTTATGTCTATAATGTCAATACAATAATTTTTACGCATCTTTTCTTTAATATTTATTTTTCTCAATTGATGACAGGTGATTACAGGAAGTAAATGTGTTGTAAACGGTAGTTTTGCTATGATTGGTCAAAGTGGAGTAGTTTTAGTCTATCACAATATTCCGATTTCGATTATTCGAACCCATCGATTATTCGAAGTAAATATTCAGTCCCAGGCACTTCGAATAAACGGGGTTGGACTGTATGTGCAACCTGAACCATTTATATAGTAAACTTTAATTTCATTATGTAGAAATTGCTATTACTTTATAACAATGGATGGTTTTTAATGTAAAAGATAAATTCATTAAATCATTAATTCAATAATATATAAACAGGCTGTCTGTATATAATGACAATGGTAATAATGATGATAAATGTGATAATTAAAGTGATGATCATTATGGTGATGATAATGATGATGACAATTGTTATGATTTTAGTGATGGTTATAGTGATGATGATGATGATGATGATGATACTGGTGATGATAGTGATAATGATGATGATTAAATTGATGATGATAATGACGGCGATGATAATAATGACAGTGTTGATGATGATGCTGATTATGTTGGTGATGATGAAAATGATGATTATAATGATGGTGATGAAAATGATGATGATAATTATTATATTTGTGATGATGATAATGATTATAATGATGATGACAATGATGGTGATGAAAATGATGATGATAATTATTATATTTGTGATGATGATAATGATTATAATGATGATGACAATGATATTGATGATGATGAGACACAATGCTTACAAAAGGATAATGACAATAGCCCAATCTTAATTAAGATATGATTGGAAAATAAGTTTTACAATCTATTTTTAAACATTTGGCACACATCCTAAGTAAAGCAGTAAAAAAGTAAATTGTGAAAAAGATAATGGACTATGCATTACCTACCTGGTGAGGATTTAGACCAGGGCAAGAGTATACCATCTCTTCCTAAATCAGTAACTGGTTTATCAGACACTGAGAAATTTGTAACAAAAATTCTTATGTCTGGATAATTTACAGTGTCTTCCACTTCCTCTTGGTTATTGAAAATCTGAAATGATGTATTAAAACAAGAACGTGTTTGTTAAACACAAATGCCCCCGGCTCAGATTCTTGTCAGTAGCAATACTTCAAAAAATGTTTACCCATTCACTCAGTTATGGACAGAAAAATCGCCAAAAAATTGTAAACACAAGTTTTATAGCTTGACCAAGTCATGGCATTCTGTAATTGTGAAAAATATAAGTTGCCAAGTCATTGCTCTGACTTGTGAAGTTGAAAAATATTTAACTTCATGCAAGTTAGATTCCTACCAAATATGAAATACATCTGTCATTAAATAAAGGCTGTATGGGCAAAAGTGTAAAAATCTATTTTGAGCACTGGTGACCTTGACCAAACTGACCCCTAACTCTATCCAAAAGAAGAATACCATGTAAGTTATCTTCCTACCAAATATGAAATACATCTGTCAATAAATAAAGGCTGTATGGGCAAAAGTGTAAAAATCTATTTTTAGCACTTGTGACCTTGACCCAACTGACCCCTTACTCCATCCACAGGAAGAATACCATACAAGTTATCTTCCTACCAAATATGAAATACAACTGTCAATAAATAAAAGCTGTATGGGCAAAAGTGTAAAAATCAATTTTTAGCACAAGTGACCTTGACCCACTGATCCCTACCCCAATCAAAAGGATGAATACCATGCAAGTTATCTTCCTACCAAATATAAAATAAATCGGTCACTTAATAAAGGCTGTATGAGCAAATGTGTAAAAATCTATTTTTAGCACTGGTGACCTTGACCCAACTGACCACTATCTCCATCAAAGTTTATGTTTCTATCAATTATAAATAACATCTGTCTATAGAATAAGGTCAATACACCTGTAAAAATGTAAATATATATTTTTAACATTGGTGACCTTGACATTGGTAACATTGACCTTGACCCAAATGACCCCATACTACACCCAAAGAAGGAGGTGTTTTTCTTGCATAGCAGACTGGCGTTTCCGTTAGTTTTACCCATGCCGGAAATTTCATCTGGCATGGGGGGTGCCAGATGAGTCGCGTGCTGTACAATGGCACGCTTAGGATGACGTCATTTTACCGTTATGAATGAAATTGCAATTCCATACGCTGTTGTAAGAAAGTAGTTACCGTTGTCATGATATAAATTTCCATTGAAAATAAAGATAAAGAATTTAAAATATAATGGAATATGGTAGAATATGCAAGAAACAATATCTGACATATGTTTGCGGTTCGGATCGGAATAAGAAATTAAGCAATTAGGAGAAATTTAGATAAATCCAACTTGCCGAAATAGGTTAACCAGACAAGGCCCTATTTTCAAAGTGAAATATGGATGACACAGTTATATAACTTGGCAATATCATGTGCTTTGTATTGATAAGTAAGTGTGGAAATTATAAAGCCATTAGTATAGATAGAACTTAAGATATTTCCAACTTGCCGTTTTAGGTTAACCACTATTCATTTTCTAAGTGCTGAAAAGGGCAATAACTTGGTAAACATGAAAGCCAGAGTTATGAAACTTGCCCAGATCATGTACTTTGTATTGATTAGTAAGTGTGTAAACTTAGAAGCCATTGGTACAGGTAGAACTTAAGAAAAATCCAACTTGCCGTTCTAGGTTAACCTCGTACGGACAGACGGTTGCTATATGCCCAGGGGCATAAAAAAAAAACATTGAGTATTTCTCAACACAGATTCAACTCTTGATTATTAGACCTACAAGGAATAAAATTATTAACAAGGACTTAAAAAAGAAAAAAAACAAGACCACAAAGTGTAATGAGCACATAAATGAAACTCAAGTCAAGTACAACTGTAAGTAATTTACTTTATTTTCCCTCCAGTACTTCAAGTAACTAACTATGACATACATATACTCTTAGTTTACAGCAGCCTTCAGCATTTCTAAAGGTTAAATATGTTATTTTTAGATAAATCAGTTCAAATAATTGTCAAATCAAAAAAATTAAGGTAGAAAATGAAATTTGCTGCTGATAAAATAGATAAACAATAAGAAAACCCCTCGAAACCTTTAATCTACCAGTCAGCTCTCTATTATGTTATTATGTAAATTAGTACAGCGGATGATTTCTTTCCCGATCTTCTATTTTTAGAAACTCATGTCCCTAATATTTATTGGAAACTCAATCATGTTTTATCACATACCTATGCCGCTTTTACGACTCCGTAAAAATGGTATTGCAAGGCTGTGCATATACATTTTGAATTTTGACAAGACGTCATTTTCCATATAGAAACATAGCGTTAATACACGCTAAATGTTAGCTTGATACTATAGGCGTGTCAATGAAAAATGGTTCTTTTTTACTTCCAACGGTCTTTATTTCTATTATGTGATAAATAGAATATTTAATTCCTAGAAAACCCATAATTCTGTGATGATGATCAAGTCCTTGATGTAAATATCAATCCTGTAAAGAACCATAGCCCTGGCAAATATCACTGAATTGGAAAATGCCGATGAAATGCACAACTAGACTTGGTACTGATCTTCCAGGGACAGTAAAGTTTGGATAAAACTGCAGCAGTAGTTTTTTTAGGAGTAGTTCCTCGAAGGGACATACAGACAGACAGACAGCGACACAAAAAAAAGCATTTTTTTATTAATCTTGAAAATATTTATTTCTCAGCCAGACCTACATCAGTGGTAAGTGCATGTTTGATTTACAGTTTTGAAATTAACTTTTTTCACAAAATCTGACCCGTGTCAGTGGAAAATGCATGTTCGATTTACAGTTTTGAAATTAACTTTTTTCACAAAATCTGACCTCAGTCAGTGGAAAGTGCATGTTTGATTGACCAGAGCAAATCCAAACATCACCAAACAAGACATCAGTAAGCAGGATACTGTCATTCTGTAAGTGTGCTGTGATCAAGTATGGTCCACCTGACTTTACAGGTCCTGAAACATGTAAAAATCATGCTGGTTCAATAAAGAGAAATACATGTACTTAAGTTCAACATAGTTTTTTCAGAATAATATTAATGGTTTAGTAAAATACATTTCTGTGTAAGGATTTGAGTAAAGGATTTGAGTCTCAGTTTGTCAGTGACAAACAATTATTTTCTTGCATATCAGACTGGCGTTTCCGTTAGTTTTACCCATGCCGGAAATTTCATCTGGCATGGGGGGTTCCAGATGAGTCGCGTGCTGTACAATGGCACGATAAAGATGACGTCATTTTACCGTTATGAATGATTTTGTAATTCATACGCTGTTGAATGAAAGTAGTTACGGTTGTAATGATATAAATTTTCATTGAAAATAAAGATAAAGAATTTAAAATATAATGGAATATGGTAGAATATGCAAGAAAAAATATCTGACATATGTTTGCGGTTCGGATCGGAATATCCGTCCCTCGGTCACCCGCCCATGGGCGGATCACCTCGGGACGGATATTCCGATCCGAACCGCAAAATATGACAGATATTATTAATCCTGGAAACTTACAAAAATCAATTTCACGGACAAGATGGGTACCTTTAGCAAAATGCAATGGCACTGAAACACAAGAAATAAAGTACTGAAAATGAGCTCTTGTCAACAAGAACGAAAATTCAATGACTTTTGATGCTATATAAATGGTTTGGCATGGAGACAACTACTGATCTGAAACTTGATTTGAAAAAGTTTTATAATATGATCTTAAAAATATCTTTAAAGGCACATTATGCCTCAGAAACAAATAAACTTCTACTCGCTTAGAAAGGGCATAATTATATGAGTTTTAAAACATTCAAATAATGGTTTTAGAGTATGTTAAATGCTTGTTACCTGACAAAAGTAGCACTAAATATGAAGTAATCTGTCACACAGGAAGCATAATGTAAACAATGCAGTGTTTTGACTTCCAAACAAAATACTAAATCACTGTCATCATCCATAATGATTTATACATGTATATACATGTAGATAGACAAGACACATAGGTATTATCACTCATGCCATATGTTAATCTTGGGCTGTAAACTTCTGTTACCTTTGTAACATTTTAATGGCTGATAGTAAAAAATAAAACAAGGCCTATGACAGAGACATAATGCTCAACAATTTTCTAAAATCTTTATAATAAAACCATTAACAGCCATGCTTTAAGCGTCTAGTTACACACTAAGAATAAAGGGCCACATGGCTTGATTTTCTAAGTTCAAGAGTGGCGGCGTGGCTGAGTGGTTGCCGATTCATTCGTCTCACAAGTAATTTCAGGATTGCTGACCATGTGGGTTCAAACCCTGTCAGGGGCCAGCGGTTGTTTCCTTGAGCAAGAAATTTTACCTTTCATTGCTTAGTACTGGTTGGTTCTAGGAACAGATTCGAGAGTGTTTAAATAAGCTTATAGCTTCCAAAACAATCAAACTAAAATAAATTTGTATAAACTAAGAGTGGAAAATGATTTTGAAGTGAACAAACAGAAGCAATGCCTTTAAAAATCATTCTGGATTTTAATGCGACTTACTTGAAAAATATATGAGACACCAAGCACATCTGCAATAATTATATCACTCATTTCTAAATATACTTGGGTTTGTACACCTACCAATCTCAATGACCCATGTTAGATCCTCCCTCGCCAAAGCGCTGTATCGTTTATACCCTGGCGTAATGAAAACTTCCACAATACTGTTTTGTTTATCCTTTGGAACATATCCCCAGATGACAGCTTTCTGTGGTGAGCTTTGTAAAACCATATGGTCTTGGTAATAAGAGGCAAATGAAAATTTTCTTTCATCCTCTTTTAAAGTATTTTCAGAAATGTCTGAAAAATAAAATGAAAGAGTAATGTACATTGTAACTTTGTTTGGTGCATTTAAGATAAAAAAGTTCTTTGATGTATAATCTTTACATACATATTGTTACACATGTATGTCCTAATACAAAAGCAATTTGCAAAGAATTGTTGCTGCATTTTTGATCCTCATAAAAATTGTATATAATTATGGTACAACTGTCACTTGCGACTTCCCTTCACGGCGTGCACGTTGCACGGAAGGCATAGGTCACACCAGCTGAGTGACCTAGTTAGGTCACTAATATAGCTGGTGTGACCTAACCAACGGCGAAGGGTGTGGCCCTACAAAGAGCTACTGCTCCCAGAAGAGGTGCCTATCCTCTATATTGTCTACTGCGTTCAAGATCGAAGAAATTTGTCCTAGAGAAGATCTACGACGGAAGACGGCATGAGAAGACCTCCGTTGGGGCTCTACAATCAGCGATGGTGAAGGCGAACTAATTGGGTATTAGTTACTGTAATTGATGTATCTCTTCTATTAATCTCTTAAATTAGCTCCAGCAGGTGAGGTGGTTTTCACCCCTGGTATTGCTTTAAGTTTGTAACACCCGAGGTTAGCCAAAATCATCTTTAATGTTCCACACCATATGACCTTAATTGTGTGGTGCACCAGTGCCATTAAGCAAAACCAAAGAAACAAACATTTTACTTACTGGTACTGTTAACAGGTCTAGGATTTCATGATATTAACTGACAATCTGTAAATTTATGGATAATCCATAAATTTTCAGACTTTTTAATCTACAAATTTACAGACTTGAAGCATGAAAATTGTTTAATTAATTGGTATAAAAATTCATAACCACAAATCAAAAGGAATGAAATTACTGATGATATGTTAAGATAGCAAGAACTGTCGGAGTAAGGCTCGACTATTCGTCTATTGAGTATAATAATGCTTACCTATGAATACATAAAATTGACGGAAAAGGTACAAAGGCTTGCTATTAAGATGTTTTATCAAGTAAATCACTGCTACATGTATTATGAATGCATAAAATTGTCCCAAAAAAGGCACAAACCCTTCAGTTATTATGGAGATAACAGCTTACAAGCAAAACTTTACCATGAATTTCTAAGTTGAAAAAGGGGAGAAAAATCAGCCTAAATGCAAGATAGAATTATGGATCTTGGTCAGTGACCTACAATTATGACCCTAAATGCATATGTGAAGTTTCAAATCAAAATCTCTGATAGTTATTGAGATATGTAAAACTTACATGTAAACATTAACCAAGAGACTAAGTAAAAAAGGGGGAGATAAATCAGCCTAAATACATGACACAGATATGAGTGCTGTTCAGTGATCATTATTTATGACCACAAATATACATATGAAGTTTCAAGTTTGTATCTTTAATAGTTTCAGAGATATGCAAAACTTGCATGTTAAACTTAACCAAGAAAAGGAGATTTTTTAGTACAAAAGGGAGCATAATTCAGTCAAAATACATGGCAGAGTAATGAATCTTGAGATGTGACCTTCAATTATGACCCTAAGTACATGTGTAAAGTTTCAAGTAAATATCTTTGAAGACCTTTAACCTTTAACCAAAATTTCTAAGTTTCAAAGGGGCAAATAATTCTGCAAATATTGCAGGCAGAGTTATGCAACTTTGCAAACTGATGTACATTGTTACTATAAAAAAGTATTGTAAATTTCAATTGAATATCTCAAGCAATAATTGAGATATTTGACTTTAAAAAAAAGTTTAACCAAAATTTCTAAGTTAAAAAGGGGCATAATTCTGAAAATATTGTAGACTTTACAAAAACCTTACACCAAAATTTCTAAGTTAAAAAGGGGCATAATTCTGTAGTGTAAATATTGTAGGCAGAGTTATCCAACTTGTCAATCTGATGTACATTGTTACCATAAATAAGTATTGTAAGTTTCAATGGGCAGCACGAAATACCCAAATATACCCAAATACACCCAAATAGTGCCTAAATATACCCAAATATTGCCCAATTATACTAAAAATGAATGTTTTATACTAAAAAAGTGATGTTTTAATCATCAATTTTTATATCAAAAGGTGATGTTTTAATCATCAATACAATATAGACTTTCACCGAGATATAATCAAACATACCCAAATATACATTTTCCAATCATTGTGTTTTGAACCAAAATCAGGGACAGAGATAACATTATCTATGTCTCTGCCAAATTACAGTATATGTACTCCATTAACCCTTTCCCCCATGAGCATATTGTGAAAAATGGCCATTTTCACTGAAAAGCCTCCTCTTACAAGTTCAAACTGCTATGAAACAATGAAAAAATGCTTCAATAATAATCAAACTTGGCACAAATGTTGACTGGACCATTGCCTTTGTAACGACATGCTCAGTCTTAAATTTCCTGTTACCATGGCAACGAGGGGACATCTCAAAATTGCCAAAAATCACTATTTTGCCTCGATTTTTTCCATCAAAATTTATTTCAAAGTGCTGCAACTTCTCAAGGGATTGAGATAGAGTCGAAGGCTTTTCAGCGTTGGTTACACGTTACCTTATGATCAACCTGGGGTCATTTTAAGCCTCTCACAAGTCCAAAATTTTCTTGGCGATGAGGGGGACTCCGCCCCCCTTCAAACCCCCAAAACAGAAGGGGGCACATCCCCCTTCTGGCAACCCCCTGATGTATTATTTGGATGGGGGACGGCGCCGAAAAAAAGGTCACTTTTTTTAACAACATTTCTCAAACGAAAAACAGTGTTTGGGGTCTAAATTGGACATTTTTTCACTGTTTTGAGGCCTCAAAAAGAGGGGGGGGGGGGCAAAAAGCCGTCGAAACACGCTTATATAAGGGAAAAGGTTAAAGCTATTATTTTTTAAATAACATGGACACTTGTATATGATATGAAATTTCAACAAAATTACACCTTAAAAATGTAAGTGTAGACAACAAATATCATATCTTGATTTAAAATTGCAAGTACATTCATAAAGAACCTATATATTAGATAAGCAAATGTCACAACTTTATTTTCGTACAACATCTTAACTGCCCGTTTCAACGGAATGAATGAAAGTTATAGCAGGCTAAGTCATATTATTTTATAAATATTTATTTATTTTTAATTATAATCTATACAAACAAAAATAAATATTGCTATATTTGGGTATATTTGGGTGTATTTGGGTATATTTGGATATTTCGTGCCGCCGGTTTCAATTGAAATTATCTCAAGCAATAATTAAGATATTTGACTTTACAAAAAACTTTAACTATTTTTTGTGTGGGAAATATCTCATGCAATACCTCACCTCTACGTAGGAGCGAGATTCTGACCCAGAACGAAAATATCTCAGAATCTAGATTTGGCACATCAATATATTTTGACATCTGGTTAATGACAACTAGAGCTGTCATCGATATCGACAATATCGATGTATCGTTGATATTTTTTTGTCGATCAATAATCTATACACATTTTAAAAAATCGATACTTTATACTTATAAATTAAATGTCTAGAAATGATAAAAATTCACCCAAAATATATGCAGAAACAATTATTAATATCAAATGTGAAGCTTTTGTTATATAGTGGAATTATTTTGACAAAAAATATTGTCTAGAAAAAATCATGCAGTGGACAAGACACTGTACAGAACATGTTTTTGACTGAAATCATTGAAACAGGTATGAAAATGAATGACAGACAAGTGAGTATAGGATATTATCGATATATTGGTGTATCGTTGATTTTAGTTACTTGATATCGATATATCGTTGATATGCTTTGCACTGAATCAATGACAGCTCTAATGACAACAGATAAATAAATCAAATAAACCTAGGTCTAATAGCAAGACATTCTCAAATAAAGCATAAAACACGATCTGGAATTGCTTTTGAAGTTTTATCATAGGAAATTTGTAAAATCAATGTCAATAATAATTGAAAAACTAAATACATATAAACTTACTAATTGGTCCAATTTTACCTTTGTCATTATGTGTTTCTATAACCATTTCAAAAACATTCTTCATCACGTGACAAGTTACAATACTTGTAAATACAAGTGCTGTAAGTATCCAGCTAAGCATTCTCATCGTTTGTTAGTTTAATCTATAATGAAGAAGATGCAAGTCTTGAGGTTTAAATTATTTATAAGCTGGTTTGTTTTCTTTCATTTTGTAAACGATCAATTCAGATGAATTCCGAATGAAAGTTTACCAACAAGTTTGGTTTCCCACATTAATCATTGCCATTAAGAATGAAAGCCTGGGACCAGTTCAGCGGAAATTAGGATCAAGCATGGCGGCGATTGAGATTCCGCTTCGGGACACAGATGAGGTAATGTTTTACTCTATCGTTGTCATTGAAAAGAAAATTACATATGCAGTTATTAAAAGCAGAATATATTCCGAGCAGTAGGTTGCTTTATTTGTTTCATGCCATTCAGGTACTTGAAGAATTACGAAAAGATTTTTATTTTCCTTTATAGATAAGTGGGTGGGGTAAGCGTCAATTCTTACCATAAACAGAAATTAGAACTGAAAACATTAGGAGAGATTAACAAAAGTGATTGACTTCCTTTACTATTCTGCCTGTAAATTGTGTGTGACTTTTTGTATATTTGTGTATATTAATGAAGTAAATATTGGTTCAACTAAAAAATAGAAAGCTACTGTATGTGTATTAAGGCTACATTGCAATATTACTGAAAAAATAACTTTATATTCTTTAGATCATAGAACTTGGTCTCGACCAGCTTCCAGAGGGCGAGGAAGTTCTTAGTATTTTGAGACAGGAAGTTGCACCACTCCATATTTGGTTTACACTAGCTGTAAGTATTGATATTTAACATTTTGGGCATAAGTACTAAGTAGGAATTTTATCAACATGGTTGCAATGGTCTCGTGATTAAAAGTGTCTAAAAAGCTCTTAACAGCATTGATTTGAGGAATACTTCGTCGATAACAATGACATGTGAACTGGTTGGTACACAAAAGTAAACTTGAAAATGTTCACATGGATGATGGAGCTTAAATAATTTGGCTAACAAACAAAATGGCTTTTTTGGCTCACATTTCTGAAATTGATATCCATTGTACCTTTTAATGATAGAAGCCTTTAAGATATTTTCTTTCATTGCTATTATGAACGATTAACAGTGTATTTATATATTTTTGTGACAGTGTTTATGTTGGTCAACCAATACAAATGTTATATTTTTACACTTTCAGCTTGAATATTATAAACAGAATCTTATAGAAGATTTTGTCAAAATCCTCGATGCCTCAAGAACAGATGCTGGCCTGGACTACCCTAATAGCGAGAAAGATCAAATGAAGGCGTTAGATACGCTGGCTGCGTACTATGTACAAAAGGCTCACAGAGAGAAGAACAAGGATCGGAAGAGGGAGCTGTTTACGCAGGCAACATTGTTATACACTACAGCTGATAAAATCATCATGTACGACCAGGTATATTCATGTTCTATAATTATGTATTATGTTTTAATACTGACCAGGTGTGATCTTGTCAGATTTAATATTTGATATTCAAAGCAGCATGCCTCCATATTTATGTTATGTTCTCGAAAATTTTGAATGTGCTCGTAAAAGTAAAATATTATTAAGTGAACGAAGAGAGGTATACACATTGGTATAATGGTAAACGTTGCTTACGATTCATGTAAGTTTTCAGAATATGCAAAAAAGCACTTACTGCATTAGTAATGTCATGAAAGTATGGTGATAAGTACTGCAAAATCAGTCATTAATCGCACATAACTTATTAATTATTTCTTGAATCATTTTATTTTCCTTTAAATCTTATAACATTTTTCTCAAGTTTGAGTTACGAGAAATGTTTTGGCCATCTGGAGGCATGCAGCGTAAATGTATAATACAGGAATAAATTGGATGATTAACAAAAAAAAAAAATAGTGGACAAGTGGCCAAGTCTCTCTAATGTTATTTCTGAAGCTGTGTTTGAGTCCAGATATATACAATGTATTGTATTGTACAGAAAATTTTTAAATAACATACATGTAAAATTTCTATATCTAAATTATATTATGGAGATGTAAATGGTAACATTTTTCTGATAAGAAACATTGGTCAGAGGTGTTTTTGCAGGACACTTTCATTTGGATACTTTGTTGTTTATTGCACTTTATATCAGTGATTTTTCTCACTTAATTGGGAAGAGACTCTAACCACTTGTTTTGGGGGAAAATTATTGCTAAAATTGCTAATTTGGGAAGTAAAAAGCAGGCTTAAGTTCAGATTTTTTGGAAAGCTGCATGATTTTAAAGAAAATTTAAATTGGGAAGAGGCCTTTTATCAGAGTCTGTTATATAAGCAGGAAAATCACTGTATGTTACATACAAAAGGTTATACACTAAACTGTACAATTTTGATATAATAATTATTATATTGTATAATAAAGTGTCCAGTATAGGAAATATATTGGAAAGTCATGTGGTACAATTCAAAAGCAGTGATTTGATGTAACTAATTTAACTATGAAATAAATAAAAATATAATTTATATTATCTATTATATATAATTTTTCTGTTTCTTCAAGTTTTACATCAGGCACATAGGTTTTTTGGCATTTGAAATTAAAATGGACAGGATTCTACTTCTTTTGAAAGAATCGGCCATGCTCGGCATTGGGTAAGTGAAATGGTAACCTCAAAGAGAAAAATGATATCTCTGCTTCTTCTTTTCTGTAGTCTAGAATTGAATGGTGATCTTAAACTCTTAGTTCATGAATTGTATATTCACAAATTATTTTCAGAATCATTTACTGGGACGTGCTTACTTTTGTTTGCTGGAAGGAGATAAGATGGACCAGGCCGATGCTCAGTTTAACTTTGTGTTGGGCCAGGTATACTTTGCAATATTTGTCTTTTTTGCAGTTTGTACTATAATAGTTATTTCAGTCAAGTTTATTAGTGTAATAATTTCTTCTGCTAACAAGTCGCTAAGATTTGATATGCTGAATTATTTAAATGTATGAGAATAGTTTTATTAGTATTTTGTCAAATGTTGACATCATTAAAAACACTCTTATGTGACAAAAGTATGCTAAAATAAGGTGTTAGGAAATCATTCAAAAAGGCAAGAGTGACTTTAGATTTATAACAAAATTACCCGAAATTAAATTTTATTTACTTATTCATGAGTGTTTGAAATGTAAAAAAGTATTTTTGTTACTAAATGTATATTATAATTATGGTATGAAAGTGTTGGAAAGAAAATTACATGAAATTACATTTTTCAGGCAACCAATAACATCCCTTCATTACTGGGGAAGGCGTGTATTGCATTCAACAAGAAGGAGTTTCGTGGTGCACTTGCTTATTATAAAAGAGCATTACGAACAAACCCTAATTGTCCTGCATCTGTCCGTCTGGGTATGGGGCATTGCTTTATAAAGCTGAACAAGGGAGAAAAAGCCAGGTATATATGATGTTTCCTTATTGTCTAAATATAGAATTTATTGTTTAGTTCACTTGAAGCTTAACATGTCAACAATATTTTTCCAGTAATACTCAGTCAGTTTAAATTGCTCTAAAAGTCTTCAGCATTTTCATAAAGCCTTAATCTGCTGAATTTCTTTAATGGACTTGTCCAACTTCCATTTTTGGAACTGTTCATTAACAATTTTGGGGATATCAGGATGAAACTCTGAAGTAAGTTAACCTAAAGTATGGAACCTGGTTAGACTGCAAAAAATGTGTATACTGGTAGCATAGGCTAAATCACTCTGTTTCAAAGACCAACTCCAGAATTAAGAATATTTGTGTTTTTTCCAGTTTGTAGATGCCTACCAATACCTTATTAGGTGCCAGCCCGTGCCTTATCTAATGCCTGCTCATGCCTTATTTAATGCCTGCCCATGCCTTATTTAATGCCTGCCCATGCCTTTAGTATTATATTTTATGTACTCATTGACAGCTTATGTCTTTCCCCAAGAATATGTTTAAAAGACACCATATGACCTTAACATTGTTTGTGTCTTGGTCTTAATGATACAACAATCATCTTACTGGATTTTCAGGATGGCATTTGAGAGAGCTCTACAATTAGATCACCAGTGTGTAGGTGCCCTGGTGGGATTGGCCATTTTGGAGCTGAATGCTAAGACGCAGGACTCGATCAAAAATGGTGTGCAGTTGTTGTCTAAAGCTTACAACATTGACTCGACAAATCCCATGGTCCTTAATCATCTAGCCAACCATTTCTTCTATAAAAAGGTAATTGTAATAATTGTGTACCCCTTAAGCTGCAGAATGAATAAGAATTTCTTAACTGGAAGTACCCAACTTCCTCTTTTTTGGAACTGTCCATTTTTGAAAATAAAGGGATATCAGGATGAATATTTGAAGTTAAGGGTAACAGCAAACTGATAAAATTTGGGAATAATTTGGAACAACTTAAATGGAAGGGTTATAGCCCTTTTATCCTGTAATTTTAATAAGGACAAATAATGTCTTTAGTTTTAATGACCAAGTAAATCATTGCAAAAGTTTAGACTTATAACCTAATGAAAAGTCTAAATTGGTAAGTATTTGGTTGGTATTTCTGGAAGCAAGAAACATAATACATGCACAGTTTCATGTAAATGTATAAACCTGTGCCCAATGAAATTTTCCTTTTAATGACAGTTCTCAGAAAAAATGAGCTCAAATTACACTGTATGGGAAGGTAGCTTTTAGAAAAAGTGTTACAGTTGTAACTGTTGTATGTTTCCTATTTCAGGATTATAAAAAAGTTCAGCATCTGGCTCTCCATGCTTTCCACAACACTGAGAATGAAGCAATGCGTGCTGAGAGCTGTTACCAATTAGCAAGAGCTTTCCATGTTCAGGTAAGTCACCAGAATTTAACACATAATGTTCAAGGGAGGGGTGGCCCCGTGGCTAAGGTGTCTGCCTCTCAACCTAGGAATTTGGGGTTCGAGACCTACTCTGGTCATAACCACATTTTGACACCAGAATTTAACACGTAATGTTCAAGGGAGCAGTGGCAGCGTGGTTAAGGTGTCTGCCTCTCAACCTAGGAAATTTGGGTTCGAGACCTATTCTGGTCACAAGTTTGTTGTTCACATGACACCAGTACTGGCTAGATCAGGAAGCGGACTCGAAAGTGAAGATTGATAGATGTTGCAAGAACTTAGAATTTGTTCCATAATCAAGCTTAAATAAACATGTTTCAACTAACATATAATGCAAAATAAGTAACCCAAAGTTATAGATGTATTGATATAATTATGTTGATAATTTTATGAGTTTTGTGAAAAATATAAACTGTGCACTTTGTCCAAAAGTGAATTGCTTTAGCCACCTTGGCATTGGCGAGCCTTTATGAAAGTTAGTATTTGAAATGTTATGGATATGTAGGATAATGAATTAGTGTAAGTTTAATACTGAATTTATTGAATGAGTTGAATTGAGCCTCTTGTGAGCATAATATTATTTTATTCAACAAGTTCAATAAATTCAGTATTGAATTTACACAAATATTATATTATATTTATCTCATATCAAAAATAAAGAGTGTTTAAAGTGAAAAAGAATCATTTTTCAATGACACACCTATAGTGTAATGCTAACATTTAGCACGTCTTTACACTATGTTTGTATAAAGCAAATGACTTAATGTCAAATTATATGCACGGCCATGCAATACCATTTCTATTGAGTCGCAAAAATGTGTGCAATAATTAATTTTATTTTACTTCTTTATTGTAGGAGGATTATGACCAAGCTTTCCAGTATTACTACCAGGCCACACAATTTGCTTCCCCTAACTTTGTGTTACCTTTCTTTGGTCTGGGACAGATGTATATCTATAGAGGGGACAATGAAAATGTAAGTTCTCCTTTTGAAACTTTCTTCTAGCTGACTAAGCAATATTTACAGTGATTTGTTTAACATTAATTCTATTTTCTTTACTTTAAATTGAATTAAGATGCTTGGCAAATTGCCCTTTTCAACACTAATTTGTATAATGATCCTGTTTCAAATTTTATAGTAAATTGTCTATTTTGATGAAATGCTTTCTTGTTTACGTCTTTCAGGCTTCACAATGTTTTGAGAAAGTACTAAAAGCCCAGTCGAACAATTACGAAGCCATGAAAATTTTAGGCTCACTTTACTCCAGTTCTCCCGATCAGACAAGAAAGGACACTGCGAAGGTAATTGCCTTTCTCTCCCCTAGATATTATTAAAAATGATCTGGATGGTTATAGCATAGAAAACTCTGGTATTTGGTAAATTAGGTTATTGGGATCTATGTAATATGCTCTGTATTTTTAAAGTTAGTTTAGCTTGTACAAATTTGTTTTAATCTGACTTGTGTTGGAAGCTATGAGCTTATTGAACATTCTCTGTATCTGTTCCTGGAACCAGCTAGTACTAAGCAATGAGTTAGAGTAAAGTTTCTAGCACAAAGAAACAACAGCTTGCCCCTGACAGGTTTGAACCTACACAGTCTGCAATCCTTAGATTACTGGTCTGACACCTTAATCACTTTGCTAGACTGCCAGTTATAGATAGTAAACATGACTTTGGTAATTTGACTTAATTTTTATTAAAAAAAATGTGGGTCTCTCGCATATTTTTAGAAGAAATTTTGATTGTTTAACAAAATGAATATACTTCACTGAAGATAAATTGATCAGATGAATCCTATCTTCTATAAGACCTTGGAAAATTTAAAGTTACTCAAGTTAAGATCAATTATAGAAATACATTATTATAATTTCAATTTATAAAATTGATAATTTAATGCCTTAAGAAAGTTCAAGCAAAAACCTGTTATTTGATGAAGACAATATTTGAATTAAAATCGAGTACAAAAGTTTAAGAGCCATAATGCCATTCATTTTGATATCAATCTCCAGCATAAAAACGTTATCACTTCTAGGCACATCTGAAGAAAGTTACCGAACAATTTCCCGATGATTTAGAAGGGCGTTGGAAAATAGAGCTGCTCAGATCCTCGAACATCTGATGTCCAAAGGGGGCGCTGTCTGCGTTACGGGAAAAGCCACTCGATTCCTCCTCGGACCCACGGGTCCAAACAAACCCGTTCCGCCCGAGATTTACTCAACAAACGAGCAGCTCTGTTTCCCGTTTAGGAAAATTAACTGATGCTAAATAGGTGTTGATATAGTATATATTATTTTTTGATGTTTAGTTCTATGTTTTTGATTTTAGATGAAATTGTTCACGTTGTTTACATTGGATAAATATATGCCTGTTGCAAAATTATTTGCGAACCCTTTTAGAAATGATAAGGGGTATGTACACATGATTGGTCATATTACAATTATACAGTGAATTTTTTTCAATTTTTAAAAACTACCTGTGGCTTTCTCAGGGAGGAAAATTTATGCCATTGCTGCAGTCAGCCTTATTACAATTTACATCAGGAGAGAGTTTTTAAATACAAAATCCCTTTAAACGTCTAATGGATTGTTCCAATTCCAAAACAGGGCATGTCCATTATACAGTGAAAGTTGAGAAAACCAGACGGCTTTCGGACCGACGGTTTTGTTCCGGTTTCTCAGCGGGGTCCGGTATTCTCAATGTCCCCGTCAGCTGTTCAGGATCCTATGTACCGAGCAATTGACTAACAAAGGATGCTGTTATATTTTGCATTTTCATGATCATATGCAGGTATATTTGCTAAATGATAAAAAAGCAATATAATATGTTTTAATTATTTTGTCCTGTTTATTGCATATAAATACAATAAATTTTGGGATTAAACCCACAGCAGTTCATAACGGTAGTCCGATTACATCCGTATATGCATTTTAGGGGTAATGGATAATGAGTTTACTTATATTGTTTTATAATAATGCCCCCCATTGTAAATATTTTGCCGAATACCATATTTGTCAGATTAAAGATTTTTAAAGTAGGTCTCGGCAAAGTTTCACTGTCTTTAATTTAACTTTATCACTTATAGACAGTCTCTCGTCGTATTCTTTTCGGCCATGGAATAGAACTTAGCGCCGATAAATGTCGTTTCCATTGCGTTGTCATTTGGGGAAATGAATATACAAAAAGAAACGCAATATAAAAATACTCTATTCTTTATCATACCGATTTTAACTTACCAATTCATTGTGCATTTTGGCATTATATAAAAACGGTAACATTCTATACCTTACAATAAATCAAACTGGTGAAAAGAGACATAATTAACAAATAAGACAATCAGTGTTCCATTGCCGCTCAAGTAGCGTTTTTAGACACAACAAATTGACAAGTACACAAGGTTATTCAATCTACGTCGTCCGGTATTGTTTAGGGTTAATTGTTCTATATAATTGAAAACTTTGTAGTCCCCTATCAAATGTCTGATATTCGGTTTTTACAGATTCCGGTATTGTCAATGTTTAATGCAATAGTTTAAAGAAGGATAAATTTGGGATCTGAATAATTCGTCCGGTTTTTGGAGAGTTCCGATTTTCTCAGCGTTTTCCGGGGTTTTTCTCAAATTTCACTGTATAAAGTTGTCAGGGTATAAAACAGATTGAATAAAAAAGTTATTTTTATTTTACAGAAATATTTATACTGCATCATTGGAAACGTTCAAGGGCCGAAGCTATCATGATGAGACATATTTTAGTGCAATATCCGTGACAACCACGTACAAATCTTGCTCGTCTTCACGAAGCTACTCACGAGTACGACGAAGCCGAGAGACTTTATAAAAATATCCTCCGTGAACATCCCAACTATGTCGACTGTAAGTGAGTTATTATACACAGCACGTTTTTGAAAAAAAAAACGGGTTTTCGGCCATCATTGCCCTTCAGGGGTTCACCTTTTGGAAAAAATATATTGTGCTCGTACCCTCCCAGTGTTTTCACATGTATTTGAAATAGGGAACAGTTGTAAAAAATCAGTCTGTTTTCCTAGAACTTTCACTGTCTTAGTAAAACACATACTTTAACAAAAAAAGCATTAAATTGTAAGGAACTGAAAACATTTTTTAATAATCTTTGGAGTGAGAAACCCTTTTGAGAGAAGTATATAAAAAAGCACTTGCAAAACATTGGGCAGATTGTGTGCTATAATTTTTTTGCAAAATGACATATATCATTTTCGATAATAACATTGTCAAAACCCTCTTCAATGTTTTCATACAAATCAATTTCCGTGCTCTGGGCCATAATTTTAGCATATTCACGGATGATAATGGTGATTGGTAAAAGGTGCTCAGTGCTGTTTACTGTCCAGCTTTAAAAGACTTCAAAGTACAAAATTCTTTAATTATCTAAATGTACTCATCTGAATATGTATGATATGATGAAATAGTTTGTCAAATCTTTCATTGAAGAAAAATTTCTTTTAATTACCTACCTATTAATTCACTACTGATCATTTCCCAAAAAGAAAGTTGCTATAAAATTTTGCCATCTTGTTAAAATTATTGCAATAAATTTATTTGAAATTATTTTTTATTATTTTACCAGGTTATTTACGACTTGGATGTATGGCAAGAGATAGAGGACAAATTTACGAGGCCTCCGATTGGTTTAAAGAAGCTTTACAAATTAATCAGGTATTTTGGTCTCATGATTTCCAAGTCAAGCAAAGCAGATTCAAGAGTGAATTAACTAAATGAAATTAAATAAAATTGAATAATAATATTTAACAACAGAATCTTGTGTATCAAATTAATATTATAACAACTGTCTATTCACAACTTTACTGAACTTCATTCAACATGTTCTTACCTCTTATATTTGCCTCATCTTAACTCAAGCCCGAACCCAGCTGTTAACACTTGCCACTCACATTCAGCCTGGCCAGCATGTCTGAACAGGATTTTTACTGTTTGCCTAACAAATTTTCTTCTTGATTTAACCAAAATTGATAATGGACAGTTCTTCAAAATGTAAGTTGGACAAGTTCTTTTGAGAAATTCTGTAGCTAAAGTGCTTAATTCTCTCCTGTTATTAGTCATCTCAAGACAAATTATTTAAAGAATTTCATAGATTGGTGCTGATACTCCAGTAGTAGCAAATTTTCCCTGAAATATTGCACTGAGGGTAATACCATGAATAACTGTATAAGTAGTTTAGTTAGTAACAATATTGGCGAATTTTGGGAATAGGCGAAAATCGCTAAAATTCCCTCTAGTTTAATTATGAACCAACCTGTCATTAAATTCTACGGTTGCATGATTCGCTAATATTTCCACACACAAAATGTAGAATTTTAAATTGCGCTACTTTTTGACACATGGCAATACCCACTTCCTTATACAGTACCTCACATAAAATTTCACCATTTTGCCTTTTACATTGTGTAACTTGAAGCCCAACCAAAAAACAATATTGAAAGATGTCCCTTTAACTTTTACTTTACAGCCATGGAGTATATCTTTTAAGATTTTTTTCTTAAATAAAGAGATGATAATCTGATTTATATTAAATCAGGATCACCCAGATGCTTGGTCGTTGATTGGTAATCTTCATCTTGCCAAACAAGAATGGGGTCCGGGACAGAAGAAATTTGAGCGTATCTTAGCTCGACCAGCGACCAAGGACGATGCATATTCTCTTATCGCCCTGGGTAACGTCTGGCTGCAAACATTACACATGCCAATGAAGGACAAAGATAAGGTATGTTCTTTGTGTATTTTATTTTTTTTATACGTTTTAAGATATTGAAATGGTAGTAGGGAACAAAGGTTGTAAAAGAAAAATTGTTATATTATTTATATTTCTATGGAAGGTTTTACATGCAAATCATGTATTGTTGTTTCTGATTCACTGATGAGACATACTTTCTCTTTCACAATTGATCTAGGCACATTGATGGAGTGTAATAATTATTATGCCCCCACAATGTGGGAGCATATAGCGTTGCACTTGTCCGTCCGTCCGTCAGTCCGTCAGTCCGTCCGTCCGTCTGTACGTCCCGAAATCTTGTGAACGCAACTCCTCTTAAACCGGATGGCAGATTTTGCTTAAACTTACAGGGATGAACAACCTTAATGTGTAGATGGTAGTAAAGGAAGGAATTTTCGCTGCGACCAAATTTAACAGAATTATGGCCCTTTGTTGATTTTTTCACTAGATACTATGTAGAAATTTTGTGAATGCAACTCCTCTTAAACCGGATGGCAGATTTTGCTTAAACTTCCAGGGATGAACAACCTTAATGTGTAGATGATAGTTAAGGAAGAAATTTTTGCTGCGACCAAATTTTACAGAATTATGGCCCTTTGTTGATTTTTTTCACTAGATACTATGTAGAAATTTTGTGAACGCAACTCCTCTTAAACCGGATGGCAGATTTTGCTTAAACTTACAGGGATGAACAACCTTTATGTGTAGATGGTAGTTAAGGAAGGAATTTTTTTGCTTCGACCAATTTAACAGAATTATGGCCCTTTGTTGATTTTTTCACTATATACTATGTAGAAATTTTGTGAACGCAACTCCTCTTAAACCGGATGGCAGATTTTGTTTAAACTTACAAGGATGAACAACCTTAAGGTGTAGATGGTAGTAAAGGAAGGAATTTTCGCTGCGACCAAATTTTACAGAAATATGGCCCTTTGTTGATTTTTTCACTATATACTATGTAGAAATTTTGTGAATGCAACTCCTCTTAAACCGGATGGCAGATTTTGCTTAAACTTCCAGGGATAAACATCTGTTACCTTAATGTGTAGATGGCAGTAAAGGAAGGAATTTTTGCTGCAACCAAATTTAATAGAATTATGGCCCTTTGTTGATTTTTTCATTATATACTATGTAGAAATTTTGTGAACGCACCTCCTCTTAAACCAGATGGCAGATTTTGCTTAAACTTCCAGGGATTAACAACCTTAATGTGTAGATGGTAGTAAAGGAAGGAATTTTTACTGCGACCAAATTTAATAGAATTATGGCCCTTTGTTGATTTTTAGTTTTCAACTTGTGGCACATGTAGTCCAAAAAATATTTGACCTAGAGTCATAAGATTGACAGAACAGTGGCGTGTGGGGGCATCCGTGTCCTATGGACACATTTCTAGTTTGTCTCTCATCTCTGATTAAAAGATTTATATGCTATAAGTAATTAGTCACTTATGAAGAAATTAGTAATTATTGCTTAGTTATCCAGGAAAGCCGGTTAGGTGTATCAGTTGCCAAGATATGACCTAAAATATGTTTAATTAGCATAAAACAAACAAACAATTAATGAATATTTATTCACAATCTGGCACACAATGTAAATAAACTGAAACAGATAAGGATATTGAAAAGGAAAATTGTAAATGTTATTTCAGCAAAAGCGTCATCAAGATCGGGCATTGGCCATGTATAAACAAGTCCTTAGAAATGATGACAGAAACATCTGGGCTGCCAATGGAATAGGTAATGTTTTCTATTGAATTTCGTTAAATTATGTTTTCTTGATTGAATATAGAATATCATATGCATTGTTTACAACTGTAGGTACACTGATTTTCTGATTGGTTCAGAATTTCTTGCCTGAATTTCCTGATTGGTTAAGAATTTCTTGCTTGAATTTTCTGATTGGTTAAGGATGTCTTGCTTTAATTTTCTGATATGTTAGGAATTTCTTTCTTGCACTTGAATCTTCTGATTGGTTAGGAATTTCTTTCTTGAATTTTCTGATTGGTTAAGAATTTCTTTCTTGAATTTTCTGATTGGTTAAGAATTTCTTTCTTGAATTTTTTTTATTGATTGAGAATTTATTAATTGAATTTTCTGATTGGTTTGAATTTGTGATTGGTTAAGAAGTTTGCCCAGGTTTAGATTTGTTTATGTTACTATTATCAGGTTGTGTACTTGCACATAAAGGCTGTATAAACGAAGCAAGAGACGTGTTTGCCCAGGTTAGAGAAGCTACAGCAGATTTCTGTGATGTATGGTTGAATATTGCTCACATCTACGTGGAACAGAAACAATATGTGGCAGCTGTCCAGATGGTTTGTTTATTTTTCTGCACTAAAATAATTAAGTGCATTATAATTATTGTTAAAATATTAATTTGATTTGATATACTGTCTTATTTTCATATCCTACAGTAATTATTGTGAAACTGGCGTACATTTTTTAGTCCGCCAAGTTTTTTGTTTAAAGTTTTCAGTGGCTGAGTGATTATGATTGTGATTTCAAACCACTTGAGCCTCACTGTTGTAGGTTTGAATCCAGCCAGGAACTTTGGATTCTTTCATGGGAGGAAGTTATCCAGCTAGCTAACGGAATGTTGGTAGTTCACTGAAGGATCAGTGCCCTTTTATGCCTGAAATAATGCACAATGGGGCACCTGAATTCAACTGCAAAAATTGTCTGAACTTTTTCTTTCAGTACGAAAATTGTCTGAAATTTTTCTTTCGGTATGAAAAATGTATGAACTTTTTTCTTTCTGTACAAAAATTGTCTGAACTTTTTCCTTTCTGTATGAAAATTAACTTTTTCTTTCATTATGAAAATTTCTGAACTTTTTCTTTCAGTACGAAAATTGTCTTAAGAAATTTTTCAAATACCACAACACAGAGGTGATGGTTTATTTAGCGAGGGCCTACTACAAGTGTGGAAAGCTGAGAGAATGTAAAAATATATTACTCAAGGTAAATTCTTGCAAAGAGTTTTACTGCAACTTTCCAATTTTTGCCAGTTGATGATAGTGCAACTATATTTACTTAAAATTTCGAACATTAGTAAACTTAAACATTCCTGAGGTTTAAAACTGGTAACATATAACTGATGATAAATCTTTTATAACTTAAAGTGACATTATGCCAGTCCGAGGGTATTGAGTGACTCAATAGGTGAAAGTCAAAACAAGTTAACATTTTGCATATTAATTCTGTTCAATTTTAGTATTTACATAGTATGAATGACAAAAAACTCACACAGGCCAAGAAAATTTATGTAAATATCCATCAGAATCTACCTTTAACGTAATATATATAAAAGAAAAGGGCAGTTTTTGAATATTTTAGGTAGATTTATATTTTATCGTTAACAATGTCCAATATTAACTGTTGGTCAATCACCATTAAAAGTGTCAGACTTTTGAAATATAAGTAGTCATTTCAGCTCAAAGTGGCAATGCAAAAATGAGCATAATGTCACTTTTAAGCATTAAGTGAGAAAGTTTGATATATATTGCAACTGTACGAGAACATTTATTTCAGGCACGGCACGTCTCGCCCAGTGATACTGTTTTGTTGTATAACATTGCCTTGGTGCAGCAGAAGCTTGCGACGTCCATATTGAAAGATGAAAAAAGTAACTTAAAAACCGTATTGTCTGCGGTCAGAGATTTGGAGCTAGCCCACAGGTAAAATTTCTAGTGTTCAACAGGGTGAGAAAAATGTCCAGCCCAACCAGGACTCTTGGAAAATTGTTCTATAGTTCTGCCAACTAAGTTACTTAGCCTCATTCATATTTTTCCTCCTTCATATTTTTCCTCCTATAATTGAACATTTCTATACATTAATGATTATTACATGCTTTTTTGCACTAAGAGGAGAACACACTTTTACACAGTTTGAAAACTTGTACCTAGATTTATGGGGGTTCAGTTTTGTGACTAAGACATCGTCATGCCTCAGTGTAAGTTTAAATGCCATTCGAAATTCACTGCAGTTTATAATTATTTGTGCTGCTGAAAAACAAGATTAATAACTGTTGTTCGCCGACTGCCTGAAATTAGTTATAACATTGTTTAATCAGGACTAAACTCAAATGAACAAATCTCAAATGAACACACAATCAATTTATAAGGTAGATAGTATATTTTGACCTTATTCTTTGCAGATACTTTTCTTACCTTAGTCATCATGGTGATAGGATGAAGTTTGATCTTGCCCAAGCAGCCACTGAGGCCAGGTACAGTTAATTTTATATATTTACATAACTTTGATGAGAGCTGTGTATCGGTTTGAGTCATATTCTAAGAGTTTCTTAGAGAGAAAATTTATGATCATTGATGCTATATGGAAAATTGATTTTAGGTACAGCCTAAGTTATAGATGATCTAGATTTAGTGGCAACAACCTAGATTTAGAGCCCATAATCTAGATTTAAAGGCCACAATCTAGATTTACAGCCCATAATCTAGATTTAAAGGCCACAATCTAGATTTACAGCCTATAATCTAGATTTAGAGGCCATAATCTAGATTTAAAGGCCACAATCTAGATTTACAGCCCATAATCTAGATTAAAGGCCACAATCTAGATTTACAGCCCATAATCTAGATTTAAAGGCCACAATCTAGATTTACAGCCCATAATCTAGATTAAAGGCCACAATCTAGATTTACAGCCTATAATCTAGATTTAAAGGCCACACAAGCTAGATTTAGAGGCCATAATCTAGATTAAAGGCCACAATCTAGATTTACAGCCCATAATCTAGATTTAAAGGCCACACAAGCTAGATTTACAGCCTATAATCTAGATTTAGAGGCCATAATCTAGATTTAAAGGCCACAATCTAGATTTACAGCCCATAATCTAGATTTAAAGGCCACACAAGCTAGATTTACAGCCCATACTCTAGATTAAAGGCCACAATCTAGATTTACAGCCTATAATCTAGATTTAGAGGCCATAATCTAGATTTAAAGGCCATCAATCTAGATTTTACAGCCCATAATCTAGATTTAAAAGGCCACAATCTAGATTTACAGCCTATAATTTAGATTTAGAGGCCATAATCTAGATTTAAAGGCCACAATCTAGATTTACAGCCATAATCTAGATTTAAAGGCCACAATCTGATTTACAGGCCCATAATCTAGATTAAAGGCCACAATCTAGATTTACAGCCATTATCTAGATTTAAAGGCCACAATCTAGAATTTACAGCCCATAATCTAGATTAAAGGCCACAATCTAGATTTACAGCCCTATAATCTAGATTTAGAGGCCATAATCTAGATTTAAAGGCCACAATCTAGATTTACAGCCTATAATCTAGATTTAAAGGCCACAATCTAGATTTACAGCCTATAATCTAGATTTAGAGGCCATAATCTAGATTTAAAGGCCACAATCTAGATTTACAGCCCATAATCTAGATTAAAGGCCACAATCTAGATTTACAGCCTATAATCTAGAAAAAGAGGCCATAATCTAGATTTAAAGGCCACAATCTAGATTTACAGCCCATAATCTAGATTTAAAGGCCACAATCTAGATTTACAGCCTATAATTTAGATTTAGAGGCCATAATCTAGATTTAAAGGCCACAATCTAGATTTACAGCCCATAATCTAGATTAAAGGCCACACAATCTAGATTTACAGCCCATAATCTAGATTTAAAGGCCACAATCTAGATTTACAGCCTATAATCTAGATTTAGAGGCCATAATCTAGATTTAAAGGCCACAATCTAGATTTAGAGGCTAAACCTAGATTTAGAGGTCCCAATCTAGATTTAGAGGCCTAACCTAGATTTAGAGGTCCCAATCTAGATTTAGAGGTCAAACCTAGATTTAGAGGTCCCAATCTAGATTTAGAGGTCAAACCTAGATTTAGAGGTCCCAATCTAGATTTAGAGGTCAAACCTAGCTTTAGATGCAGACATTTTGACCTTAAGAGCAGGTTACCCTGCTGTATTTCTTAAATAGACTTGTTCAGCTTCCATTTTACAGACTGTCTATTTTCAATGATGAAAATTTGAAGTTGGTCAGTCAGTCAACAGTATAGAGTCTTGTCAGACTGAACTGTTGTACAGGTTAGCCTGGCTCTATACTGCTGGTAGAGACTGATTCAGCAGGCTTTAGGTTAAATGATGCAAATAAATCAATGAGGATTTACCAAAACTTACATATTGAAATTTTGTTACCAGGCAGTGCTCCGATTTGTTGAGTCAGGCACAATATCACGTGGCTCGTGCAAGGAAGATTGACGAGGAAGAGCAGGAGTTACGTAAACATCGCGAGGAGGAACGTGAAGCCATACGTCAGAAATACAAAGAGGAGCAGCTTCAGAAACAGAAGAAGAAGGAAGAGTTATCGAAGATGATGATGGAGAAGAGACAGATTTACGTCGACAAAGCGAAACAGATTGCGCTCGCACCAGAACCGGAAGAGAGACGGTCGACTAAGTCAAAGGTAATTTTCATGTTAAGTAAAGAGCTCATCAGCAAAATCTTCTGCAAGTGTAACATAACTTTTTAGATCGACTAAGGTTGGATTTAGGTGTTGGTTACTGGGTACAGGGCCCAGCGTACCTTTTTCATTGACAGTTTGATGGTCCACAGTGTCAAAAGCTATTCATGCTCCAGTGGGTTGCATACTTTAGACATATCCAGGCTGCAAATATATTAAGCATTGGAATTTTTTTTCGTATTAACGTTAACAATTTGATTGGATAAATTTTGCACTGTTTGCAGAAAAAACGAGCAGATGATGGAGAGATCTTGTCTGAGGGAAGTGAAGATGAACGGCCTAGAAGCAAGAAGAAACGAGGACGTAAACCGCGTAGCGGGTCAGATAGTGACGGTGATGACGAGGAAAGGTCAAGTAAACGTAAAAGGAAGTAAGTGATATTAATGTACTTGTATTTGTACTTTAATTGAAATAAACTGGATAAAAAGGAAGAATTCAAAGAAACCACAATTTAATTTAAAGTTTAATTGAAATATTTTACTTAAAAATGATAAACTAAAATTGTGTTCTTGATTGCTCTATGTTCAGAACTGTCTAAATCTAGACATAGTCCGATTTAAAAACTGTCGTTAAGCACAGGAGAGTAAGACTGGTTTAACAGGCTGGTTTTGCTACAAATTGGACTCGCGGGCCTATATCTTAATATAAAAGCTAAAAAATTTTAAAAACATCATTGTAATACAAGTGATGAGTTGTAGTTGATAACTATTCAGCTCTAAATTTTTGTTTAACCTTTTGACCTCTGGTCGCAATAAAAACAGATCAATGTCAACAGCAAAGAATCTGGCCAGCCTGCACATTATGTTATCTGATGAGACTTTCTAATCAGAACTTTTCTTCTGATCTGGATGAGATATTCTTGCATATCGACTGGCGTTTCCGTGAGTTTTACCCATGCCAGAAATTTCATCTGGGGGGTGCCAGATGAGTCGCGTGCTGTACAATAGCACGCTTAGGATGAAGTCATTTTACCGTTATGAATGAAGTTGTAATTCATACGCTGTTGTAAGAAAGTAGTTACGGTTGTAATGTTATAAATTTCGATTGAAATTAAAGATAAAGAATTTAAAATATAACGGAATATGGTAGAATATGCAAGAAAAAATATCTGACATATGTTTGCGGTTCGGATCGGAATCTCCGTCCCTCGGTCACCCGCCCATGGGCGGTAACTCGGCAAGCCTGGGGACGGATATTCCGATCCGAACTGCAAAATGACAGATATTATTAGGATTAGACAGGTTCCACTGTACAAAGTTGTTATATTCCACAAAACAGTGTGTTTCACATGTATTATCAAAACTATGTATGTTTTTGAATAATGACTGAGGTTTCTTTAGAGTTTGAATTTAATGAAAGGTATGTGTATAACAGATGCAAATTGAAGAGAATACTGTTCTATATATGTTTTTTTTAGATATGAAAAGAAAGTGGATATATAATTAAATGTTTTATTATTTTTAGGGATAAAGGTGATAGAAAGCCGCGGGAGAGGAAGCGGAAAGAACCGAAAGAGTCTAAACGTAAGAAGAAGATCCTTGACGAGGACGGGCTGACGGCTAAACAGAGGAGAAAGATCGTTTCCAAGGCAACCATTTCATCTAGTGAAGGGTCTGACTCTGAAGGTGAAAAGCTAAAAATAGACGTTGGCGGGTAAGTGGAAAAGTTTCTCTTTGATTTGTGTATAATTAATTCTCAAAGCACAATTTATGGCCGTTTTACATTAGTCACTGTGAAATTATATTTTGTAAATACTATGATACAAATATTTTATACAGCACTGATACTGTTGTTGTACACATTCTTTATGATATCTTTGTTTTCAGCGATAGTGGAAGTGATGATGAAGGTGGAAATGTCGGTAAAAGGCGTAGGATTTTGTCGTCCGGCAGCGAGAGTGATGAAGGCTCAGTACATAGATCTAGGTCAAGGTCGCAATCTGGAAGTAGGTCAGGATCTGGAAGTAGATCGAGAAGTCGATCTGGAAGTAGGTCAGTCAGCAGAAGTAGGTCAAGATCAGCGAGTGGGTCAAGGTGAGTAGTTTTTAGTTTCTTTTTGTAATGAAGGGTCAAGATTGCTAAAGAGTCATGTGAGCAATCCATATCATATAAATATGTGCAGAAAGTTTATTTGTTTATTTATTTTTATCTTAATTTCCTTGTCTTAGGTATGTGGAGTTGAGGGCATCCCCCTTCATACCTTAAAAATTCATTTTGTTTTTGTTATATATGTGTCAGACTGAACAAATCCATCTTTACAAAAATTCTTGTGTAAATAAACATATTTCTGTATCTTTGATTACATAGGTTTTACTATGATGAGGACAAATTTGAAATCTTGTTTTTTTACAGGTCTGGCTCAGCTGGTTCAAGGAAATCACGGTCACGCTCTGGAAGTAGGTCAAGGTCAGGCAGTCCAGCAGGATCAGCAAGGTCAAGGTCAGGTAGTCCAGCTAGATCTGGGAGTGGAAGGTCAAGGTCACCTAGTCCTGCTGGGTCACAGAGGTCAGGTTCAGGTAGTCCAGGTCAAAGGTCAAGATCAGGGTCACCAGCATCACCGGCAGGGTCAGGGAGTGGGGGAGATTGAAAAAGTTATATAAAATATGAAGTTGATTATTAACTGGTGAAACATTCTTAATGAACAATGACATTGACTAGTGCTGAGTAATTGCTGAAGTATTAAACCATTAATTGGTCTATCAGATAATTAAGCAGACGGATGAATTCTAGTTATTGAAGTACTGTTTTCATTGACTTGTACTAAATTACTGATTCAACATACTTTGTGTGTAGGCATTGAACAGTTGATATTTGAGACAGGAGAATTATGTTAACTACAGTATATGCTTTGAAAAGCTATGTTTTTTCTATTGTTACAAAAATAGTGTTGTATAAAATCATGTATAGTCATTATAGATGAATGGTGTGAAATATTGAAATAAAGTTGCTTGAAATATAAGAGTTGATTTGTATTCATTGCTTAAACTAAAGTTTCTTCATATGACACAGATGCTGGATAGTTTGAAAAGAGGAACCAAGAATTGTTCAATTATGCTGAAATGAATTTGCCTTTTTCTAAAAAAGAAATTTTCACTTCAAAACTTGAACTTTGGTTGTCTATCAAGGGGAAGTTAGTATGCTAAGTACATTTACAGAATTATGCCCCTTTTCTATGTTGATTTTAAACTAACCATGAAGCCCACTGTTCATGGACAGGTCTTGTTTTCTTCCTGTGTTGAGAAATTTGGGCCATTTCTTTTTACAGCTATCATTCTTTCCATCAGGTACTTGTATTAACGGTATCCGCAACTCTATACAGAAAATCAATAACGGTAAATTATGCTGTCGTGGCAGATAATCCATCCAGACTGCCTATCGTTGTTGATTTTTATCGACGATTACACGGTGTTAAGCGATATGATATTTGACCTTGGTTATTTAAATAACCGTTAATTTTATTTTCTATTCAATTTTTTAAATGTAACATATTCTAGAAAGCTGAAAGATTGGTTTTTTTCAAATATATATTTTATAAATCAGTGCGTTTACTAAGAAGAAAATAACGACGAGTTAAACACAGAGTTTTTTTTTTGTCTCCCGATTATGTCAAAACTTCAGTAAAAATAATGATCCCCTCTTCAAACAAATATAAGATTTTTTTCATCATTTATGGTCCGAATTTCGCAAAATACCTATCAAAAGAAAGCTTAGAATTTGATCTTTTTAACTGTGTAATTATTATTTACAAAGCTAAAATAGTTTTGGAATTGCAACAAGTAAAAAAACGCATCATTTACTACTAGCCAAATGGCAACTTGCACACAAAAAAATCTTTTCATATAGCAACAAGATATTGTTTCTTCATTTTTTTGGCCTAGAATTGTGAAATAATCTCCATAAAAATCGTATATTTTGTAGCTTTATATATATTTATTTATATTTTAAATTTCTTTTGCGTATTTAAATAAAATGTGGATAAAATATCGTGACGTAAAAACGCCCCAAATCACGGTACAATCGCACAGTCAAATTGTCTTGCATATTTGTAAGATTGAATTTTTATTACATTGAGCCCTTTATATTTTTATATTGACCATTGTTTTAAAAAAAGTAAGACACTATTTTTTAAATAAATAAAATTAAAAGTATGATAAAATAATATTCAAACCGCGGCAGAAAAAAAACTATTATAAAAATTATTTTCTAAAAATATGGCCTAAACATTTGTTGTGATAAAAGTATTGCAATATAATTGAAAGAACATTTTGGATTACATTATTTGTTGTTGTTTTTTTTCCATTTAAAAGGCCCTTTTTATTAAAGTATTTAATCCTCGATTATTCAATCAGAACCTTTTCAAAGGCAATTTGTCCAATCAAACACCTATTCATCTATTTAGATAAACCTTTGATGTAAAAAAAAGTACTGTCATAATTGATGTTTGCTGCAGATTCAGTAATTGGTTCATTCGTTTAATGTGCATCAATTTTAGCTCGACTAGAGCTATTGTAGTCGTGTTGGTGTATTGGTTAAATTTTTTTGTAAAGTCAAATATCTCAATTATTGCTTGAGATATTCAATTGAAACTTACAAAACTTATTTATTGTAACAATGTACATCAGATTGACAAGTTGGATAACTCTGCCTACAATATTTACAATTAACTTAGAAGTTTTGGTTAAAGTTTTTTGTAAAGTCAAATATCTCAATTATTGCATGAGATATTCAATTGAAACTTACAAAACTTATTTATTGTAACAATGTACATCAGATTGACAAGTTGGATAACTCTGCCTACAATATTTACAGAATTATGCCCCTTTTTAACTTAGAAGTTTTGGTTAAAGTTTTTTGTAAAGTCAAATATCTCAATTATTGCTTGAGATATTCAATTGAAACTTACAATACTTATTTATAGTAACAATGTACATTAGATTGACAAGTTGGATAACTCTGCCTACAATATTTACAGAATTATGCCACTTTTTAACATAGAAATTTTGGTTAAAGTTTTTTTTGTAAAGTCAAATATCTCAATTATTGAATGAGATATTCAATTGAAATTTACAATACTTTTTTATAGTAACAATGTACATTAGTTTGCAAAATTGCATAACTCTGTCTGCAATATTTGCAGAATTATTTGCCCCATTGAAACTTAGAAATTTTGGTTAAAGGTTAAAGGTCTTCAAAGATATTTACTTGAAACTTTACACATGTACTTAGGGTCATAATTGGAGGTCATAATTTTATGTCACTGACCAAGTTCCATAACTCTATCTTTCATTTAGGCTGATACATCTCCCCTTTTCTACTTAGTCTCTTGGTTAATGTTTACATGCAAGTTTTACATATCTCAATAACTATTAAAGATATTTATTTTAAACTTCACATATGCATTTAGAATCATAATTGTAGGTCACTGACCAAGATTCATAATTCTATCTTGCATTTAGGCTGATTTTTCTCCCCTTTTTCAACTTAGAAATTCATGGTAAAGTTTTGCTTGTAAGATGTTATCTCCATAAGTACTGAAGGGTTTGTGCCTTTTTTGGGACAATTTTTAGCATTCATAATAATAAAGCAGTGATTTACTTGATAAAACATCTTAATAACAAGCCTTTGTACCTTTTTGGTCAATTTTATGTATTCATAGGTAATTAGCATTATTATACTCAATAAAACACCCTTGTGACAATTTTTTGAATAGTCGAGCCAATACTGTCCTCCGACTTACTTAGTGTGACCTCAAGTTGTTCAGAATGGCATACTGTAAAGATGATTTTGTTGAGTTCTCAGATATTGAGGATCTAATCATCTTGAAGTAGTTTTAGGGGATTTTACTGAAAGTGAATATAATTTTAGTGATTTTGAGGTAGAACAGTAATATAAATCTAAATGCAATAAGAATAAGGAGAAGATAAGACTTAGTGTCACCAAGACATCTAAAAAATTGTATCGGTGTGATGAGTATGACGAGTCTTGCGCTTCAATTTCTGGAATGCGTGGTCATCTTCGTTCAAAGCATGGGAAGCAGGATGTTCAAGGTAAGACCATTGGAAAATATGACATTTGGAATAACTTATAATTATATACATGTATTAGGCCAGGGTCTACTTTGCCTTTGCATTCACTCACAGAAATTGGGAATTATTGAAATAGCCAATTATTGAAATAGTAGAACACAATATAATAATTTCTGATGTCCAGTACTTTATTATTTGATATAAGTATGAAGTGGACGTACTATGTACTGTCACCTTGTCATAATACACTCGACTAGATGTAAGACTTTTATAATAATAAAAGAGCAAGAACATGTATTTAATATATGTATTTAATATCAGTTTATATAACTGGTAATTTTTGAAACATTTTTTAACATACATAAAAACAAAAATACAGTTACAAAAACAATTTAACCAGTATTACAACAAAATACAGTAAAAACTCTGAAAACCGGACCCTGTCCGGACTTGGCCAAAAGTCCGGTTTTCAGGGGATTCTGGTTTTCAGAGGTTTTATACATTCATTGATAATTATGATGTATTTTGTATTTACTTTTTAACACTTATTTTTTTTTTAGCAATAAATGTCTTAAGTAATTTTTTTATGTAAATCCATGAATACAATTCAAAAATCAGAAAATAAAACTACACATTGTATGAAATTTATCTTTTTAATTGGCTTTTGAAATATGTAATTACTGGAATTTAGTATTACTATTTTTGCATATAATTAAATTCCAAACAAAGATAATTTTTTTAGCAAAACAGGAATCATTTTACAAAGGTTACCTAATTCTTTTCAACATTTTATATTAATTTTATAAAAAAAAAACACAACAAATTAAAAACATTTAGAAAAGTCATACCTATACAGGATAAGGCACAGTTATAATGACAGAGCTATAATTAAATTGCCAATAAGAAATTTACACACACTAACAAGTGTTTTCACACCTGCATAAATAAAAAAGGTGACCATTAACTGGTAATTGAACATGTCACCTGTTGAGATTATGTTTTTAATTACATTAAAATACACAGAAAGTTGACACTTATAATTGCTGTCCGGTTTTCAGAGGATTTGTTATGCTTGTTTAGCATTAGAAGCCATAGAAATTCGTCCTGTTTTCGGAATTCAGAGGTTCCGGTATTCAGAGGATTTTTTTCAATGAACACATCAGAAGAAAATATGGGACTTTTAAAACGGTCCGGTTTTCAGAGGATTCTGGTTTTCAGAGGGTCCGGTTTTCAGAGTTTTTACTGTATACAATTTTACACAATCTTATTACATGTAAAAACAACAGCAGAAACCGCGTCTTGAAATTTAATTTGAAACATTTTATTAATTTTCAAGTTTTGCATTGCTTTTCCTCTAAGAAAATCATATCATTTAACTCAGTCTCCGACTGATAACATGCCTGCTGCCACAGTAAATGGGCCTAATTTTTCAAAATTCAAGGCAGGCTTTTTGTTGGTTTTTTTTACAAAGGACTTGCCTATAAAGCAAATATCAAACTTGATAGTTTTTCCCCAAATACAGATACAGACATTTTATACCCTAAAATGCCAATTTTACCTGTTAATGTATTTGTTTTTTTTT